ATTTATCATCTTACTTGTGAAGTTGAAAGCGCCCCCAAGATTAAATCGGGTCCCATAAACACGTTAAGGTGTGCCAAAAAGTAAAGGAAAAAAAAAATGGAGTGATCATTTTTTGCCTTTTTTCGCTTGAAAAGAATGATTGGTCCCTATTTAAAAACAGTACTAAAATTAAAAAGTGACACCTAGAAATAAAACATTTAAGCGGTTAATTAGAAAGACTGAGGAGTGTCGCAAGTGGAGGTCTCTCTCAAGTCGCCGTCGCTAGAACTTCACTTTTTCTTGCAACCTGTTATGTTTCGTATTTGTGCCATACATAATCACAGCTTCTAACTGGATTACCGAATATTTCGGGATATGATTTAGAATCATGGTAGATATTTTAAAGTGAGTGATGGGTGAACATATTTACTTCAGTCAAAATTTCTTATTTATTAATTAACTCGTTTTGAGATTAAAAAAAAAACACCTTAGCAATAGTAGTAGCATATTGCATCTATTGCACTTCCATGCGGGTTTTTATCTAACAAAGACATGAAATGACCTTAATTAATCCCGTATTGTAGATGCAACAAAATAGATGCATGATTAAATATGGTTGGACTTGTTGTTCTAATTTGGTTAACCAGTACGAGTCAGCTCAGGTCCAAGTATTAATTAATTTTTTAAAAGAGTATTTATTGAACTTTTCTCCGAATGTGAGTCTAAACCTCATCTCATATCACTAGTAGAAAACTGAGTATTGGCGACGGGGTATTGACGACGGATTTGAAATCCGTCGCCAATACAAACATTGGTGACGGAACATTGGCGACGGGGTTGTTCCCGTCGCCAATGTTTGTATTGGCGACGGATTTCAATCCGTCACCAATATTTTCTGTCGCCCATAACCTTTGGCGACGGGAAAACATTGGCGACTGATCCAATCCGTCGCCAATAAGTATTGGCGACGGATCCAATCCGTCGCCAATAAGTATTGGCGACGAATTCTATCCGTCGCCAATGATCCGTCGCCAATAATTATTAGCGACAGATTCTATCCGTCGCCAATAAGTATTGGCGACGGAAATGATGCGTCGCCAATATGTATTGGCGACAGAATTGATCCGTCACCAATGTTCCGTCGCCAATACTTATTGGCGACGGATCGAATTCGTCGCCAATAAGTATTGGCGACGGATCAAATCTGTCGTCAATAAGTATTAGCGACGGATGTGATTCGTCACCAATGTTTCGTCGACAATACTTATTGGCGACAGATTTGATCCGTCGCCAATATACATTGGTGACGGAAATGATGCGTCGCCAATAAGTATTAGTGACGGATTGTATCCGTCGCCAATGTTCCGTCGCCAATACTTATTAGCGACATATTCTATTCGTCGCCAATAAGTATTGACGACGGAAATGATGCGTCGCCAATACGTATTGGCGACGGAATAGATCCATCACCAATGTTCCGTCGCCAATAAGTATTGGCGACGGATTCGAGTCGTCGCCAATGTTCCGTCGCTAATACTTATTGGCGACGGATTCGAATACATCACCAATACTTATTGGCGACGAATCGAATCTGTCGCCAATGTCCGTTGCCATCGTAAAAAATTAACATTAGTGATTGATTATCCCATTGTTAATGAGTGGCCCCACAAAAAAATAAGAATTATTTTAATATTAGTCCCTCAAATCTATAATATTTTAAATATAGTCCAATACTATTTTGTTCCACGCAGGTAGATGATAGCTTGAGAGCTGAGGACGTGTAAGTCTACTATGATCCAGGACAGTTGTTTGGTGGCCTTCTCAAGGGCCCCCTGCTCCCCTCTAACTTTGTCGCTGGAGGCATGTCCCTTCTTCAGAGAGAAGTGATATAAGCTTCCTGAATTTGAATTTGCTTGTAGAACGAATCTAGTAGTTTTCTCGTTAATAAATGAATGGAATTAGTGGAAATACCTCTTGCTTGTTCAAAAATTAGTGGAATTAATGAACAATATAAGAGGGTGGTTTTCTAGTCATATTTTTATACTTTTAAGAAAACCAATCTAAAGATAACCACTAACAGGTAGAAAACTGAGCATTGACGACGGGGTATTGGCGACAGATTTGAAATCCATCGCCAATAAAAACATTTGCGATGGAAAGATACATATGTTATCAGATTCTTATGTTAAAATATTTTTAATTATTTAGGAATTCTATGTTAGTTTTAAAATTTATTTATTTTTATTCTTTATGCTAGTAGATTCGATGAACTCCACTACTCTGGGCTTCATTTACGGATGGACTTGAGCATGTAAACATCATTAATGAATCTGAGAGGAGATAAATTAGATTTAATCACTAAAAACCGGATGAAAATAGTTTGGATATAGTTGTCTTGGAGTTTTTTATAAGGTTAAGAGGAGAAAGAGCTGTCAAGATGGTAGACGAGTTTGTTGAAGTTAATATAGGATTTCTTATACTTCCTTTCACCCAGTTCAATTTTCAGTTCAAGTAATACTATTATAATAATTATATTGTCTATATACTATAATATATTTAATTTTTTATTATGCTCTTGACTAATTTAGTACTATAAATATTTTATAATATTTTAATTTTTTTGTAAAAAAGTTAGTTTTTGATCATTACCAAATATAGATTATTTAGTATCGTGTAATAATCTTTGAGAAAACACTCTAAAAATAATACTAATTAATATATTTAATTTATTTAATAATATAATACTAAATAAATAGTATAATTCATAATTTATGTGATATTATTAAAATAATTACATTATTTATGTGATTCAAAATTTATTTTATTTATTTAATTGCTCATTAAATTATAATATAATTCTTAATAGTATTTACTAATATATTATTCTATTTTATACTATCACTTTAATAATTTAATTAATTGGTTACCACTAATAATTGTGTATACTTATTTTATAAATTATTTTATTTTATTATTTTTAAATAATTAATAGTTATAATATTATTGATAATTATAATTGTTTAGGAAGGTGAGAAGTAATGAGAGGTTATATATTGTGATGATTTGAGGGATGTAATATAAATTTCCATGACTTGAGTGAGTAATTTTGAAATATTGAAGATTTGAGGACCGATTTGGAAATATTGAAGATTTGAGGGTTAATATTTAAATAATCCAATGATTCACTCTTAACTTAAGGATCTAAGAGGAAAATTGGTAATATTAGTTAGATTTGAGGGTTGCAATAGTAAGTTATAATATTTTTGTAGTTGGTGTGCCTTATATTTTATGCAGTGTATTCTTACTCATTTTTCTTTCACGTATCAATTTGTGTATTCATTGGGGTTGGTTTGTTAGGTTAAAGTGAATTCGTGTAGTCACTTTAGTCTGTGACCTGTTTCGTCACCTGAGCTTTGCCTGAGTTCGAATCAGGCCGAGATCGGATTGCGTGTAGTCCTCTGACCGATTCGTGTAGCGGTATTGGATGCGCGTAGAGGATTTGTGAACAGTCAGCTATTGCATTACAAAAAAAATGCGATAGGAACTTCAAAATTAGGAGAGATTATATTAAAAGAAATGAGCGTGCTATAAAACAAAGACTAGATAAAGCTATGGCTGATCTAATGAGGGAAAGGGGTAATAATTTTGTATAAACTTTGGAGATTTCCTACTTATTTATTTATGTAAGTTTATAAGAAATTTATTTCTCTTTGTATTTGTAGGCAAAAAAGATTATGAGAAACCCGGTAGACATAGGAGTGAGGAAAAGACGGAAGTACCTCCGAAAGGGTACCGGGCCATTTTGGAGTGGAAGGGCAACATTCCTGTTGTGGATTAGGCCGTCAGATTTAATAACCTTGTAATGACCGTGAATTTTTATACTAGTTAAAATAAAAAATTTTGGTATTTTAAAATATTTAAAAGAGTATTTTTATTTTTCTCGATTTTCTAGAATTGTTATGATTTAAAAACCAAGTTTTATATTTATTTAAATGATTTTGATAATTATAAATTTATTTAGTGCAGTAAAAATTTATAGAATTTATCTGTTGCGTTATTGATACTATTACGTATCATTTTGAATAATACGATGTATTATTATTATTATTACGTAGTATTTCATATAATACGTTGTATTATTATTATATATTATTTTGTATAATTTGTTGTATTATTTTTACTGTTGCGTATTACCCGTCATATTAGTATAACTGGTACGTTTTACTGTGTATATAATTATCCCATAATTATTTGATTTTGAATGTAAGTAAATATATTTTTATTTAATTATTCTCGTTTAATTATACAATTTGTTGTATTAATTCATCTGTTGCGTATCAGCTATTGTATTAATACAACTGGCACATTTTTATTTGTTGATAATTATTCCGTAATTATCTTAATTTTTAAATATCAGTAATTATCTATTTTAATTAATTTCGTTTAATTCCCAAAACCCTAATTATATATATATACATATTATATGTGTTAACCCGCCGCCACCACATCATCATCTCCTCTCTCTCTCCGACTTCAGATCCAGCACCCCCCGAGACGACCGCGACGTCCCGCCGCCGCCCTCCTCCTCCGGCCAGCGCCGACCAGCTCGAGCCCAGCCCTCCTCCGTCTCCCTCTCAGCAGCGCCCCATCCTCGACCACCTCTCCCCCCGCGTCCCCCGCTTTGCTCTGTCCTCGCCGCCCGACCCTCTAGAGTCCCCGTGCGCCTGCCCGTCCGCTCCGCGCACCGAAGCTCTCCGACGGTCCCCTCAGCTGCGCGAGCTCCCCGCCTGTCACCTCCAAACCCCCTGTGCGCACCCAGATCCAGCGCCCACCTCGTGCTGAACTCCACGCCGCGCCATTCTCGCGCGCGAGCAGCTCCCCTCTCTGTTCCGGCGACTGAACCCGACAACCCGCAGGCAGTCGCCTCCCGCTCTCCGATGCTGTGCGTCGTCACGCACAGCTCCTCCTCCGTTTTACCCCGTTGCGACGAACCGAGCTCTCCAGCCACCCGCTTCGTCGGCTCCGTAGACCCTGCTCTCGCGAACCTCACGCAGCCGCTGCCGTCGTCAGACAGCCCCTCGTCGGAGCTCTTCTCGACGCCGCGTATTTGAGTGAAAACCAGGTATGATCATATTATTAAAACTGATATCATGTTATTAGTTTTATACATTTACTTTGAAATTTAATATGTCACAGGACGCTTTGACTATGCCCCCGACTCTTCTTGCTAGAAGAGCTTATACACCGCCCTAGGGCTATGAAAATGTAGAGGGAAATGACAAAAAAGTGGAGAAAAATAATGAATTGGTCGTAAGTATAAGATTAATTTTAGACTTGTATATACTTAATGATTTTTCATCAAAGTTTCTAACTTTTATGATATATGATATACAGGCGGCGGTGGAAGCTTCTCAAAACGAGGTCTTGGCCCGTGTCAGTCAGTCTCAAGGTACAGAGGACACTCCTGTAGAGCCTAACCGCATGACTAGAGACGAGTGGATGGAAGTCATCGACGGAGCTTACGGTTTACAACTAAGAAAGAAAGGAAGAGTTCCTTTGTCAAGTGCTGGAGCTAAGAAATTCACCACCACCAATAAGCCTAGCAGCCAATCTGTGACCTCGACGCGACCATGCGACACATCATACGTCGTGGGTAAGATTGGTCAATACTTGTTGAAGAATGTTGAAGCCTATTTGGTTTTAAGTTTTTTCCCACTATTAAACACGAGTTAGACGGTGCACAAACGACCTGGGATGTCGTTCAGCGACTCATCGATTCTCAACCCTTAAAGGACTTGCTTCCGCAGCCTATATACATGGATATCATGGGGATGACATTTAATGAGCATGCAGCTATAAGTGGTGGAGATGTATATATGTCATATTATATATGCAGTTATTATGAATATTTTGAAATATATTCTCATATTGATTTACCTTCTTTTCAGGCTAGAGGAGGTACTGTAGGAAGCAGCGGTACGATACGACATTTTGATGCAGCCGCTGCCGACGATAGGGATCACGATGATAGGGACCAAGATGACTACGATGAATGAGTAGTGAGTTAGACTTTTTTTGTTACTTTTGTCAACTTTTGGATTGTGTTGAGCATATAATGACCTCCGGATTATATATATATATGTGAAGTTATACTTTTTTGTTACTTTTGTCGATTTTTGGATTGTGTTGAGCATATAATGACCCGATTTTTTGATTGTGTTGAGTATATATATAGTGTGTGTGTGTGAATCGATGAATGATGAATGTGATTATTGTTGGATGTGAATTGATGAATGTGAATACTGTTGGATGTGAATTGATGAATGTGAATACTATGGATGTGAATTGATGAATGTGAATATTATTAGATGTGAATCGATGAATGTGAATATTGTTGAATATTTTATGAATTTTGGAAGCAACAGGTATATATTCCCAAATGGGGCTCAAAAAGTAGTAATTTTTTTTCTCGAATTACATTCATTAGCGACGAAAAGGTCTGTCACTAATGAACATTGCAGACGGGGAAATCAGTCGCCAATATACATACATCGCCGTCGCCAATAAACATTGGTGACAGGGTGTTTTCCGTCACCAATAATCATTGGCGACGAGTTCAACCCCATCGTCAATACACATTAGTGACGGGGTGCTTTCCGTCGCCAATGTGTTTTGGCGATGGCTAGATTTTCGTCGCCAATAAACATTAGCGACGGGGTGCATTTTGTCGCCAATAAACATTGGCGACGGACAACACGCCGTCACCAATGTGTTTTGGCGACTACAAACTCGTAGTCGCCAAAACACATTGGCGACAGAAAGCACCCCGTCGCCAATGTGTATTGACGACGGTGGTAAACCCGTCGCCAATGTTTCCCGTCACCAATACCTCTCCGTCGCCAATGTACATTGGCGACGGATGACCCCGTCGCCAATGTGTATTGGCGAGGGGATTATTGGTGACGGGCAATTGGGCGTCACGAATGTGCATTCGTGACGGATTTGACTGCATTGGCGACGGATTT